ATAAAGTGTTAACTATTTATATAATGAAGACGATTTTTTCGATATACATTTACAAAAAATACATTTTTTTCGTTTTTTTTAAATAGAAAAAATATAAACCTTTCTCCTTTATCCGGACTTAGAACTGGCTACATTAATTTTAAGTAGGCGGAGTTAAAAATTGTACACGAACAACTTGTTGTAACGTATATAATTTTTTAAAGAAAATTAAATGTAACGATTAAAAAATAAGAAATTTTGATTAATATAATTAAATCAAATATCACTTATCTGATAACATTCATTTTTTGCACATTTATCTTGTAGTCGAAAATGAGCGTCCTATCAATCCTTCATGCAAATTAACACTTCCAAAACATCTTCTTTCTATCGGCTCCTGACATCAGTTAAAACATATTTACCTGTTCTAAAAGCAGATTTCGAAACAACAGTGTTAATAGAAAGTGTCAACAGATCTTTCGTAATTGCAAAAACAACTGACCGACATCTTCCATACTTTCGTCGGAATTCAATTACTTCTTCTGAATTTTTTTAATTATTTTATCTGTTGGCATATTCTGATTGAAGTAATCAATTAATTCAACAAGCATGCATTTTGAGTTGCGACCGATGTTTGATGAGATGCAGATGTAGACGACGTGGCACTAGATGAATACATTGCAGTTGCATTATATCTATATGTATTAATGCCTTGAAATAAATTCATTATTTTGACGTCTTCTTTTTCAATTTCAGTAGAAAAAGTAGGTGTAGAGGGTATCCGACTAACATTTACACACATTCGGTCGGCATATAATTCATACATTTCACATAATTAGATGATAGGCTTATTAAACGTTATGACTTTGTTGATTTGATCAATTACGTATTTAGTTCCCGATAAATTATATTGGGGTCCATTACGTATACTAAAGGAAATAACATAAGTAAGTCTTCCCAATATTTTCTAAACTTTAATTCCATAGCAATTATAATTTCATTCAAATCAAGGTCATTTTTATATTTATGGAATGTTCTTGCAATTATATAAGCACCATATAGTTTGTGGGATAATAAACGTCCGATAAAATTTTTGTTGTCTGATAAAAAGATGTTAAAAATCTTTTTACTTTCGAAACTAAATGCCAATCGAAGTCATTCAACGTAGCATCGTTATCGCTTCTAACATATCTATTGTTATAAAAGTCAGTTATTAAATGTTTGAAATCTTCACATGACTTTAATAGCAAGTAAATAGAGTTCCATCTATGACCTAAATCGCCAATAGATATTTTAGCAGTCGTCACCCCTATTTCGGTACAATAATCTTCAAATGCTTGTTTCCAACAGGGGAAATCGTGATATATACTAGTGCGTTCCTAATTCTTTGAAGTTTATTCTTTATATGTTTTAAGCCATCTTACACAATTAAATTCAAAATATGACACACACAACAAATATAAAACAAATACCTACTGAAATCAGTTTGCAGCACGTTACATAATTTATCAACAACTACCTTATTAACACTAGTATTATCGAAAGTAAAAGACCAAATTTTAGTTTTGCAATTATATTCTCTAACAATGCTGATAATAGCATTATATATATTATTAGCATTGTAAGGAAACTCAATAATTTTAAAAGTAATAATTTTTTCATGCATGCACCAAAGTGGGTCTATATAGTGTACGGTTGCAGCTATATAAGCTTCTTTATTAACCCCTTCCCATATATCCGAAGTTAAAGATATAACACCTCATATTGTTGCAAAGTCATAATTAATTGTTGTTTTGAATCATTGAATTATTGTATTATATCGGCACGAAGAGTGTTTTGACTTACCCTTACGTACCTTGATTGCAGTTATTCTTTCATATACGAGACGAAGTGTTGGTTGTCAGCAATAGTCAGAAGCAACTCAGTGACAACAATAAATTTAACCATTTCGGTTCGAACTTTCTCCATTGAATACACCCACGTGGATAGGGGTAAAGTCGTAGAACTGGTGCCAAGACTATCAAATTGCAATTGTGTTTGACTGGATGGAAGAAGTCCATGTCTGGTCGCACATACTTTGTAGTGACGGTTGAGATAGGTGGTACCAATTTCTTTTTGGCATGCCAATATTTGTTAGCAGTATTTACATACCGCTTTAGATTCTACGAGGCCATCGATGACTTTTCCCGTTGACATCAACTTAAAAGTGATCCCAACATTTTGCTTATTTTTTCTCCTCGCATTTGGAATGTTTAATTCAGGATCTTTGTTTTTATGTTCCGCTTTGAGAACGTCAATGTCATCCAAATCAATTGGATTGTTGCTTCCATGACCATGAACGTCAACATCTTCAGGTATGAGTATGTCATTTAGACCAAATTCATTCCGAAATTGACTTTGCAGCATCCTAGAAGATTCCCTACATCCCGTGTCGAACAAGCCCTCAACAAATGAGCGTGAATCCACTTGTTTGATTGTTTGTAGTGAAATCCAAATATAATAACTAGTAAAAGTATAAATGTAGTGAGAAATGAGAATTTGATGAATTGAAATTGAAACTAAATAAATCGTAAAAAATAAATCAATATTGTATAATTATAGATAATTGACCAAGTAATTGAGGCTTTTTGCACAAGAGAGTTGAGACTTGATAGAAAGATAGTCGAGAGAGTTGAGAGTTGAGAATTGAGATGAAAAATTCGGGGGTTAATGGGGCTAATTATAGAAGTGCGAAAAAAAAGAAGTTTATTGACCAAAACAGTCACTGAAAAAGTTCAATGAGCATTAACGGTCACTTTAAAAATACAAGCTGCTTGTGGGCGAGGTCACGGCTCGCCCAACACTTCGGCCCGCTAGGCTCGTGCTCGAGCTCATATTTTTATGAGACCGAACCGTCCACGAGTTTCGTTTTCGCGAGTCGAGCGAGCGAGCTAATAAGCCCCTCAACTCGATTGCCATCCCTATCCATACCATACTTCGCTATCACGAACCGAGAAACCTATTCCTTTTTTCTAGAAAATTTTGGGATAAACGACATTCCCTAGTCATTCCTGCTTATTGAGCCCCTGTTTGGTATAATTCAAATTTTAATTAAGTTAAAATTAATAATCAATTTTAACCACATATTTAATGGGTGCCACAACTTTTCGACCACATATTTCATCAATTATTATCAAAGTCTACTAAAAATTTGATTTTAATTCCAACGAAACGGGGCTAAGTTAATTAGGTAATTTTTTCTTTATCAGCGTGAATTTTTCGTCGTATAATTTACTTGACAAGGAAGTGAAAGTCTTAAGAGAATGGAATTACTTTCATTTATTCATTTTGAGTAGATTTTAACAAATGAATTTAATTGAAGATAATCTAAAAAAAGGATTGCATTAAAAAATTTGCATGTGTCAAAGTTTGTTGGGCGTCTTTTTGAGTTGCACACGGTGTCATGGTGATACACAATATAAATTGTAGGGCTGATGAAGCATAACCCTGAAATATTCTTCCTAAAATTGAAAACAAACGCGTCACTAGATGTTCTCGTCACTCATCCAATACATAAATCAATAAAGAAGAAGAAAATTACATGGTAAATTGTAGTTGAAAAATGAATTGACATCGTGCATATAGTTGTTGGGGAGGCTTTTTGTTTTAATGTTATCAATTGATTTCACTCCCCCCTCCAAAAGGAGGCTCAAATCATCAATTACTCCTAGTAAGATTTTGCTATTAACGCTTGTTAGGTCGCAATTTTTGTCTTGACCGGGCTAGAACTTCTCCTAGCAAGTCCTTGCTTGATTGATGAGACAAATAATTTTAGAAATGGAAATAAAGAGCTAAAAATAAATCAACAATAATTTTTCTTTATTTTACTTTTTCATAAAATTAATGTTTTCATCATTTTTTTTTATTAATATTCATACTTTATAAATGTTGATGGTAAATAAATTTAAATGTGATTTGAATAAAATTCAAGAAATGAAACATTTATATTTGCAACTTATTAAATGCAATGATTATAGAGTATATAAAGAGTATTTGTCACATGATCGTCGTGGACAATCAAGATTTCAAGCCATTCATATCAATTTAGTAGGTATTAAGCCCTTGTTTGTCCTCCATTTTTTTCCCCTTTCTTTTTTTTTTTTTTTTTTTTTGGTCAAAACTCATTTTCGTACTATATTTGGCAGATGATGGTGTCCAACATTTAATTGGTGTCAGAGACTCAGAAATATAAACAGACAATATCATGCCATTGAGACTTTATGACTAAATAGCCCTAAGATATATTGCACTCCACCCTTTTTTTTTTTTTTTGAACAGCACTAAACAATAATTTAAGGGCTGAAATGGAAAATTAATAATTCAAAAATCAGCTTCAAGCTTGACAAGCATGTGACTCAATTATTGTCAACTCCTACCGTCCTTGTCATCTGATATGAGCCCACAATTGTTGAAAAATGGCCAAGAATGAGGGCCAAAAACAAGCTAAAACAAAGTTTGAAAGTCATGATTTTTTTTTTTATGGGTAAATGTAAATATATTGTTGCTTGACAGCAAGATTGTCCAAATTGAGTCAATTTTCTGAAGTGTTCTACCGGTGCAATTTCAAGTATCACAATATTCATCACTTGTTATTGAAATTATTAATCTTGTATTGATCTGTCATTTGCAATATTTAATTTTCTCGTATTTGGCTCGTTATTCAGGAAAGAAAAAAAAATAATTATAAAATGACTTGGTTACTCGTATGTTTGAGCTCCAATGGCCAATTTTATCTTCTGAATCTGTGGGGGCCACATTGTCGGAAATTTGCAGGTCCAAGAATGTATGTTTCCAGTTTACCCTTCAAATAAAATGGTGGGAGGTTATTTAAACCTGAAGGAATGGAAGGGTTACTTTTGAAAATTGGTTTTAAAAATAGGGTATTTTTGACATTTGAATCTGAATGTCTTTTACAATAATTAAAGTGCCTGACAATATACTGTGCACTAATAATTTTTTAAGAACTAAAGTACGGTAGAAAAATGAGAAAGCTTATTAAAAATGAGATTCAAACACACGTAGTTGCTCAAATGAAACTCTTTCAAGATTTTTTTCCCCGTAATTCCCAGGTTGAATCAATATTCCCATCTTCACCCCATGTAGCATAGAATAGCTGCAATACGCGTAAAAGTGATTTTATTGCAAGAAATCAATTGAAGAGATGGCGGACGAAGCTGCGGTGAAATTTATACTACAAGTCCTCAAGGAGTTGATTGTTTCCACTATTAAGAAGATTTCTGAACTGGATAATGAAGTGAAACGTCTGAGAAATAATCTGAATATGTTCAGAGGCTTCCTCCAGGATTATACAAATGAGCCGACCAAGTCTGAATCTTTGAAAGCATTGGTGACACAAATAAGACGCACAGTATACGAAGGAGAAGCTATAATAGATGAATATGCTATTGAGGCAGATCGGTATAAATCTAGTACTGTGTGTGAAAAAATAAAGAATCCATTGCGTCATCCCACAAAGCTTTTAGATTTGGCGCATTCAATTAAGCCGATGATGGCTATGGTGAGCGATTTAAATGAGGAGAAGGAGAAGGAGAAGCAGAAGCAGAAGTCGGGCGATAAGGAAAGGAAAGATGGGGATGGATCTAACACTGCCAAAATATCCAAGGTAAAATATATACTCATTAATACTCATTTTACTCTAGTTAGTTAGAGTGTATTACTAGATTAACATTGTTGATGACTTGATTCTTAGTCAGCCCAATCTTCATATTGGTTTTGATTGGTTTAATACTAATTGGGAAGAATCTGAGTTTTTTCATAGTTATAGATTAGTTTAGGGAAAATCGCAGTAATATTTGTATAGTTAATTTGTATTTTCTCTTACTTACTCGTTTTCTGTCCACTATGTTAACAACGCGTTTAGACAAATTTTTCCCAATAAACCCATGCCGCAAATAGATCTATATGTGCAAACTCCAGAGTCCAGATAGGTGATGATTACTGCTACCGCACGATTCATTTCTTTAAAACTAACTTCTGCTCCAAATAATTGATAATTTTAGGATTTTTTTTTAATTATTGACTTTTGAATCCTTGACTGAATATTGATCTCTGAAATTACTAATTGACTTTTATAACTATAGTTTATGACCTTGTTTGAGCCACATTATTTTTAAAAAAGTATATTCTTCAATAATTTGACATCATTTCAACTACACATTTTTCAATAAAATAATATTACACGTAAATCTAAAATTTTTATTTATTTTTTAATTACACATTTCTCATTGATTTGACTTGAATAATGCATTTTTTCCTAAAATGTGACTCAAACATAAGTTACATCAAAGAGCTTTTCAGGCTATCTTAAAAAAATAAAAAATAAAATCCTTGTGCATGACGCAGCTTTGATTTTTCCTTTCTTCTTTATACTTTGATTTTCCTTTCTTCATTTAATTATTATTATTATTATTATTATTTTGAAATGTTTACTTGTTATACGTTCTCCAACAGAGGCCCTATTTGGGTCTCCTTTAGGAGTTAAGCCGACGTGGATGAAACCCATGTGTGCGGACCCGCGGCCGAATAATCGGACGAACCCATGAAATGTACCGAACCCATGTATTAACCGAACCCATAACACCGAATCTCCTCTGGGAAGGGAGGCAAGGCTCTTTGGCCGAAGAGTCTCCGAATCAGATATATTGTTATGATTGATGTGACAACCCCCTGCCACTGCCACTGCCACTGCCACCACAGCCAACCTATTTGGTCAAGTTTACTGCCGCAAGCTGTAACTTATGGAAGGAAAGTTGGCATTAGCATTGATATACTGTGATTGATTGATGCCCATGATGGGAAGTTAAGCCTAAGAGAATGAGGCCACGTGTCCTCTCATCCGATGGTCTACACTCACTATCTCACATTATAAAAGCCCACACTTAGTATTAATCAAAGGTAATGCAAGTTTAGACTTTGATATTATGACTTTGCTTTCTACGTTCATTTGACTCCCAATACCGACCCTCTTTATTCTATATTAGAAGCTCACGTTAAAAGTCCTCCCACACTTAATATATTTCTTCCCAAACTGACTTGATTGTTAGAGTGCGCGCGGTTGGCTCCACTCTCATCGGAGAAGGCCACGTATGTCTAACGGTTTGTCCTAGTGTGCAGGAACACAGCTTATCTGGACGTGAGAGATCTTGGGATCTGTTAGCCACGCTGGAGGCATATTTTTCGAGGTCAACAGATTGGCGCAATTTGTGGGAATCGGTACATTACAACTACGAACTTCCTAGTGGTGAAAGCCATCTAGGAAGACATTGTACAATTGCAATACCTTGAAGAAAGGTTCGGCTATCAAGAAATCACTTACTCGGAATTGTTAACCCAAGGATCAGCGATACACCATGAGCTCTAGTCTTTATGGCCGTTAAAGCAGAGACCACCAGCAGGAGGCCTCTGAAGAAGAGGTTCTTCGAGTAAACGTTACTACTCATCTCCCCCACCATACACCGAAGAGGTGGAGCCACCGCTTGTTTGGTGAGAGAAGTTGGAGAGATGGCTGCGAATATGAGGGACATAACTCAGCAAAACACTATTATGCAACAACTGCTCATGCAAATGCAGGGCCATGGAAGGAGCCGACCCCCCAACAAGAGGCTTTCCATCAAGAGGATGATGCAGGAACTTAGCCGCTTGAGCAAGCGAGAAGTCTGAGCCCAATTGAGAGAGAGATGGGCATGTCCTCAAAAGGTGACTTGCCTCGGGAGGAGGGCAATTTTCCCCCGGAGTATTCCCAAGAATCAGAGCTGCAGAGATCCGCCAGTATTTTTTACAGGATCAGACCTTCGAGGCCTAGAAATAGGCCCCAACAATCTACCCACATTCCAAAGCAGAATGAATATGATCAAGGGTAGGGAACTCAGGAGGTTCGATTGTCTAGAAATAGGCCAGGCTAGAGGGATGCGACGAATTTACGGGACCAGGCGGGAACATCCCAACCACCTCGGTATCAAGCCGAAGGGGAAGACTCAGTACAGGTCTTACGAATTGGACGATGATGATAGCCTTCCATTTTCACGGGAGTTAAGGAACGCACATGTTCTGAGCCATTTTGTGCTCCCAAAGATACCAAAGTATGAAGGCAAATGAGACCCCACGAAACACCTCAATAATTATAAGGCTTACATGTCTCTGAGAGGAGCCTCGCTAGCACTCAAATGTAGGACTTTCCACTTGACTTTGGCGGGGGATGATCGAAATATGGTACAGTTGTTTTTCGGCTTGCAACATCAGAAGTTGATCTAACCTTAAGAATGTTTTCTTGAATCGATACTTGGCAAGCAAAGAGGGAGAGGCCCCCATTCAAAGGCTACAGGATATGAGGCAACAGGCCGATGAAACCTTGAAAATCTACTTAGCAAAGTTCACAGACGAGATGACCTATTGCGAATAGGTAACGGATAGGGAGGCTCTGTCAGCCCTAAGGGGAAGCCTTAACATGAACCAGAATTCGACTACCTATGATGCTTTGGTGGAAATGATGAGAAGTGAGATAGTCAACAAAGAGTTGATTGATCATCGCAATCGAACCTCTTTAGGACTTCTGCCTCCACAAAGATAAAGACGGGGCCGCATCTAGCACTTGGTAACCCAGCAATGGACCCAAGCTAGGTAGACAATCGCACCTACTTCAGGCCAAGCATTAGCTACTGCCACCCTGAATGCAGTACCTTTCTTAGCCTATGAAGAAGTCGCCCCTAAAGTAGACTCGGAGAAACCAACCGCGGAGAAGAGGCAGAGGAAAGGATAATGAGCCTAGAAATAGGCCGTATTGCTCTTACCACTGAACTTACGGCCACAGCACCAATAACTGCATGTCAAGGCCTCGGCAACTGGAATCAATAAATCAGGAGGAGAAATACAGGTAGAGACCGGAGGGATACATCCAAGAAGAGACAAGAGCAAGAGCCTCAACACAAAGAGGTGAGGCGTGTGTAGAGAGTTCACTCCCCCAGACAGCAAAGTAATGAAGACTTGGAAAGACCTAGGGACACACGAAGGCAAAGGAGGGAACCCCATGCTGATGCAGAGAATGATCTCATCAGAGAAATTGATACCATAATCGGGGGCCCTCATGTTGGGGGGATTTTAGAAATGCTCAAAGGAATTATGCTAGGGAGGCCAAAGACCCCCCCATGACAACCTATTTGGTTAACAGCAATCCTCGCGGGACACACACCACTCAAACAATCACTTTTACGCATGAAGATACCATTGGTGTCCATTACCCGTACTGTGACGCCCTCGTAGTAAGGGCCGTTGTGGCCAGAAACGATCTAAATCGTATGCTCGTGGACAATGGGAGTTCCGTTAACATTCTATTTGGAGTGACTTACGGCAAGATGCAAATCAGCCATAGCTTAATCCCCATGACCGCCCCATTATATGGCTTCACCAGAGACGGCATCGTTCCGAGTGAGAGGATCACACTGGCTGTAGATATGGGAACAGCTTACAACCCACCATCTTATGGAGTTTCTTGTCGTAGATCATGCATCTGCGTATCACGGGGTGCTGGGGCGACCCGCACTGAAAGAGCTCTGAGCAGTCACCTCCATCTACTATCTGTGCATTAAATTCTCAACTGAACGAGGCATAGCCATAGTTCAAGGCGATTGGATGGGCTCAAGGAAATGCTACCTCAGTTCATTAAGGAAATCCGAACCTCGTAGTGTGAATATGATCTCCCAAGACGGAAATGCTTGACGCACCTACAGAAGGTTCGACCCCTGAAGAAGGGGATATGTCGAAATGATAGATACCGTAGCAGAGGAACCCACATCTGAACAAGGGTGATGGAGATAATTTTGAATCCCAAAATAATAGAGTCAGACTCACAAGCCACACCTATTGAGGAACTAGAGGTCTTCTCCATAGACCCGCAAAACCCCACCAAAACATTGTTGGTAGGGAAAGAATTGAACGCCGAGGACAAGCAGAGACTCAAAGATTTCCTCATTGACAACTTAGATGTCTTTACTTGGAAACAAGGGAACATGGTGGTCATCGATCCTAAGGTCAATAGCCATCACCTCAACATTGATCCTAAGTTTACCCCCATCGACAAAAAAGAAGAGCCCTGAACCCTGAGCAATATGAAGCCCTAAAAGAGGAGGTGCAAAGACTGGAAGATAATGGGTTCATCCGAGAAGCAATATACCTGAAATGGATATCCAACCCGGTACTTGTAAACAAACATAATGGCAAATGGAGGGTCTGCATAGATTTTTCCAACCTTAACTAGGCGTGTCCAAAAGACAACTTTTCCCTCCCCATAATTGATCAGCTCGTGGATGCCACTATAGGGCATGAGCTCCTCAATTTTATAGATGCGTACTTAAGGTATAATCGAATACCCATAAACCCATTAGATGGGGGGCACACCTCATTTATAACTGATAGGGGGCTTTATTGCTATAAGGTCATGCCTTTTGGACTAAAAACGCTAGGGTAACATATCAAAGATTAGTCAACAGAATGTTCTCTGACCTTCTTTGCAGAACTATGCAGGTGTATGTATAGACGACATGCTCATGAAAAGCTTGAAAGTCGCAAACCACACCGACCACCTAGAGGATGCCTTTGTCATTCTAAGAA